GAGAGAGAGAGTGTGTGTGTGTGTGTGTGTGTGTGAGAGAGCGTGAGTGTGTGAGAGCGTGAGTGTGTGAGAGAGTGAGTGTGAGAGTGCGTGTGTGTGTGTGTGTGTGTGTGAGTGTGTTCCTGTGAGATGTTCAAACACAATGGCCGTCATTCATTCACGTGAGCAGAACGAATTTCTGTGGAAAATCGGTGTTGCCTGAATTGTTGTGATTAATTGAATGAGACAATTTACGTGAGAATGATTTAAATACCATTTCCACAGCCTGTGTTTCACAAATAAAGCTCAGTGTTTTTACACAGAGGTCAAGTGTTGGGTTTCTGGTTTGAATATGTATGTGAATTAGGGCTGCGTTGTGTTGAAGAAAAACGCGATATGCTGTTGTGTTGGGGTGAATTTGACCTATACTTGATTAAGTTGCACGAAATACTGGTTAAACTGTTCGTTTCTGCTTGAAATTTGGTGAATATTTTTCAATTAGGGTCATGAATGTGCATGCAAAGTTTCAACACACAGATGTGTTTTGGAAAGGCTGTATAATATAATAAATAGATTTTGTATTGGGGTTCTGTTGACCCCCATTGGTTTGCATGCAATTTGCCAAAAATCAGTGCTTTAAAAAAACACAAAAAATCAGGTAAAGCAAACAGAAAACCTTCAGTGTAGCCTGGCAAACGCTAAAATATGAAATGCATGAGGACTTATTATAACATGTAAGACACTAAGCTTCCTCAAAACTGAGACTTGTCTTCGCAATTGACCAAGAAAGGTTTGCGAGAAGCGAGACATGAATTATGTCCTTGCAAGGATTTGAGAAAAAGGTCAGAGGAAGTACAAATAGCAATGAATGCTACTTACATTGAGTACAAATAATGTTAGATACTGTTTACTAGTTATCTGAATTTTTGACATTTAGATTTTTGGCAAATTACATGGAAACCAGTTTGGGGAAAAAAAAATCGAAACGCAAAAATTGCACTCAGTTTTTGAACATAAGATTAAATCATGTTATATGCAATACGGTAATTCTTTAAGTGTGTTTTAGATTCTATTTAAGTTTTTCTTCTTTGATGCCTGCAGGTGTGTTTTTGTAACTTAAGATTATTATTGCAAGCTGTTGTGATTTGCACATTTGTGATATTTTGATCATTTCTGTTATATTGTAGAGCCCTAATGTAAATATCGATACACCGTCGAGAACCTAAACGGGGTGTTTCAGGTTTGAAATGAACCTATGTGAGATTTTCAAGTATTCAGAGATGTGATGCTACTGTCCAGAAATTCACAAAGCGTTCATTTTCCGATGTTTTGGTCACAGGTCCGTGCTCTCCTCTCCGTCAGCCTCCAAGATAGATTCTCTCAGGAGTAAGGTGAAACTGCTGAAGCTGCCGCTGACCCTGTCGTCCAAATCCATCTCGGAGCGCAAGACTCGGCTGGGCGGAGCCACAGAGCGCTCCAGGGGCGGAGCTGGGGCCCACAAACCCCGCCCACCGGCCCCAGACATGGACAACGAGTCGCAGTACTCGGGCTACTCCTACAAGTCTTCACATTCACGCAGCTCTCGCAAACACAGGTACACACATCTGTGACCCTGCAGCACAGAAGCAGTGTTAAGTTGCTGGGGGATATTTGTAGCGATAGCCAACAATACATTGTATGGGTCAAAATTATAGATTTTTCTTTTATGCCAAAAATCATTAGGATATTAAGTAAAGATCATGTTCAGTGAAGATATTTAGTAAATTTCCTACCGTAAATATATCAAAACTTAATTTTTGATTAGTAATATGCATTGCTAAGAACTTCATTTGAACAACTTTAAAGATGATTTTCTCAATATTTAGATTTTTTTGCATCCTCAGATTCCAGATTTTCAAATAGTTGTATCTCAGCCAAATATTGTCCGATCCTAACAAACCATACATCAATGGAAAGCTTATTTATTCAGCTTTATTATTAACTTTAATTTTTTTATGTTTTTGAAAGAAGTCTCGTCTGCTCACCAGGGCTGCACCTATTTAACCAAAAATACAGTAAAACTGTGACATTTTATTAAAATTTAAAATAAGTTTTCTATGTGAATATGTAGTAAACTGTAATTTATTTCTGTGATCAAAGCTGTATTTTCAGCATCACCTCCAGTCTTCAGTGTCACATGATCTTCAGAAATCAGTATAATATGCTGATTTGCTGCTCCAGAAACATTTCTGATTATCATCAATGTTGAAAACAGTCGTGCTGCACAATATTTTTTTGTGGAAACCATGAAACATTTAGTTTTTTCAGGATTCACAGATGAATAGACCATTCATAGGAACATAATTTACTTGAAATATAATTTTATTTAAACTTCATAAATGTCTTTACTGTCACTTTTGATCAATTTTAATGGGTTGTGGCTTTAAAAAAAAAAAAAAAAAAAGTATTTCTTTCTTTCAAACTTCTTTAAAAATAAAAAAAGAACCAGAGAATGGTAGTTTCCATGTGGCTTCTTCACGTCTTTGTTTTAGTGTAGAGCGTGTTTGTCGTCTGCTCTGCTGTGTCATGTGACTCCTGGTGTGTCCCGTGTGTTTCAGGGACAGGAGAGACCGGCATCGCTCGAAGAGCAGAGACAGCAGCAGCAGAGGAGACAAGTCTGTGACCATCCAGGCCCCCGGAGAGCCGCTGCTGGACGCCGAGAGCACGCGCGGAGATGACCGGGTCAGCACACACAGCACAGGCTTACCAGAACAACAGGGAGAAGATTGTGTGTTTAGAAATAATGGATTAGTTACTCTATTACAGGAATGAGAATCACCATTGAGGATAATGCAAGTTACCAAAAAAAAACATATATATGATTTTATATGCAACTGACTTAAATGAAATATATAAATTTAGTTTGGATTTAATATGACTAAATATAAAAAATGCAATTGTAAAAATAAAAATGTGTATTTATATAATATAAAATAATTTATAGCATATCATATCATTTTAGTTTACAGTAATAATTTATTTTACATTACAACTGTAAATTTACAATACTACATTTCTGGCGTTCTTAATTTCTTAATTTTCAAATCTTTAAACATTGGGCAGAACACAAGCTTCTAATTTGCTGACAACAGTAGGTTTATGAGTGCTTTCTAATAGAAGTTTAAGGAAGATGCTTGGCCCAAATAGGTTTAATTTCCTTAAATCCCAGCGTTTGCGATTTGATAACAGCACTAACTAAGCCATATTGCAGCTTCTGTTTTATTTCAATGAATCGTGCACCTCCGGAATAAATGAGTGAATAATGTGATGAATGAAGTTAATAGAGAAGGTGTGTGTTATCTCAGCATCCAGCGAGCAGCAGTGTGGGTTCTGGACCACTACTACACTGATGTCCCAGTCTACAACCCTGCTTTACTCAACCTGCCCAAGTCCATCCTGTCGAAGAAGATGTCTGGATTCAAGGTGTACTCCCTGGGAGAAGGTACACCAAATATTTCCCATTTTACAGCCATTTTAGTCATCCTGGCTTGCTTTGCTTTCCAAAGTCTGTTTCTCAAATTCCGCTGATGAATGCTTGAGAAGAGCTGTTTGTTTCCAGTGGTCCTGACTTGTTTTCCTCTCCAGAGAACAGCACCAATAACTCGACGGGTCAGTCTCGGGCGATGATCGCCGCCGCCGCCCGCAGACGAGACAACTCTCATAACGAATACTACTACGAGGAGGCCGAGATGGACCGCAGGCTCAGAAAACGCAAGGCCAGGTCAGAGTCCAGAAGAAAAGCTCTTCCTGATAAATCCTAAACATCTGGGTGAATCTCACAAACTAAAGAAGTGAAAAAGTACTGCTCCGTTCATGACGATCTAATGAATGTATCAGCATTTAAGATGGAAAGTGTCTATGAAAATAATCAGTGCAGAAAATCTTGCATATGCATTTTACGTGTTTTTAAATTTGTATTTACCTTTTATTATTTGTAATTATTAAATTTTTAGTGCTGTCATACGATTAATCGCGATTAATCACATTCAAAATAAGTTTTTGTTTACATAATATATGTGTGTACTGTGTATATTTATTATGTATATAGAAATACAAACACATGCATGTAAGTATATATTTAAGAAAAATGTTTATATATTAAATATATTTATGTGAATATAAATATATACATGTTAATATTTTCAAAATATATACTGCATGTGTGTATTTATATATACATAATAAATATACACCGCGCACACACACATTATGTACACAAACTTTTATTTTAGATGCGATTAATTGTTTGACAGCACTATTAATTTTATTTGTATTTATTCATTTTATTTTATTTTTTATTATTTAATATTTATTATATTATTATTAATTTATATTAGTGCTGTAAAACGATTAATTGCATCCAAAATAAAAGTTTTTGTTTACATAATCTGTGTGTGTACTGTGTATATTTATTATGTATATATAAACACAAACACATGCATGTGTATATATTTTAGAAAATATTTAAATGTATATATTTAGCTTCATATAATTTATATCTAAATATATTTCATATATAAACATAACATATTTTTTCTAAAATATATACATGCATGTGTTTGTATTTATATATACATACAGTAATTTAAGATTAAACATTTAAAACACAAAAAAATATTTATATATATAAATTATTGTATTTATAATTTTTTGGAGTGAATAGTGACCTGGACATGTTGTCTGTGTAACTGCATGTTATTCTGATGTTCCTGACTCGTATATTCTGCGGAGATGATTTGCTCAGTTGTGTGTTCTCCTCCCAGACTGGTGGTGGCGGTAGAGGAGGCGTTCACTCACATCAAGAGGCTCCAGGACGACGAGGCGGCGACGTCGCCCAAGCACCCGCGTGAGGTGATGGACCCTCGAGAGGCGGCCCAGGCCATCTTCGCCCCCATGGCACGAGCCATGCAGAAATACCTGCGCACGACGCGCCAGCAGCCCTACCACAGCATGGAGAGCATCATCGCTCACCTGCAGTTCTGCATCACTCACAACATGACGCCCAAGGTCCGCAAACTCACCCTCTTCTGCATGATTCAGACAACCTATTACATGCGCACTGTATAAGCAGACTTCACTGTGCGCTATATCCCACAATGCAATGTGCTCAGCATGATCGGTCACTTTGTAATGTCAAGAAGTAACATCATTATGATTTTTAGCCTCTCTTTCTTGACTGAACTGCTGCAACTGAAGACATTTTTGCACCCAATTGGATTAAAATAACTAGACACCACTTGGTGGATTAAATGTGCAATGCAGTGAAATCATGAGACTCAAAAAACGTTTGGTTTTGAGACTTTAGTCTTTGCAACTTTACAGATCTTCTTTATGCACCAAGAGCTTGTAACACTCCAAAGAGAAAGAAACAATTGAAATCGCATCATATGACCCCTTTAAGTTCTTTCCTGCTATAAAAAAAATGATAATAATTGCGTCGGCACCCCCCTGTCATGCAATAATACTCCCACACTCCTCATAAACACTTGAAATGTGCCTATATAGCGATTTTATTATTATTATAAATAATAATAATAACAGCCTGTTTTGGTCATATTTACTATTAATTGCCCAGCTCCCCCGGTCCTTGATCTAGCACCTTTTCAGCACCTGCGTTTCTTAACTTTTATAAAGAATATCTCTTTGGTTTTGAGACTTTAGTCTTTGCAACTTTACAGATCTTCTTTATGCACCAAGAGCTTGTAACACTCCAAAGAGAAAGGAAAAATTGAAATCGCATCATATGACCCCTTTAAGTTCTTTCCTGCTATAAAAAAAATGATAATAATTGCGTCAGCACCCCCCTGTCATGCAATAATACTCCCACACTCCTCATAAACACTTGAAATGTGCCTATATAGCGATTTTATTATTATTATAAATAATAATAATAACAGCCTGTTTTGGTCATATTTACTATTAATTGCCCAGCTCCCCCGGTCCTTGATCTAGCACCTTTTCAGCACCTGCGTTCAAAATTCTCTGGCGCCGCCCCTGCAGAGAGATGACAGCTGTGTGAGCCTACCTGCGTCTGTGTCTCTAAACAATCCACCACGGTGCTGTAAAAGACTGATCTGTAGTTATCAGAAAAGTTTGTTTGTAGTTCTCGCTGCTAAAGGTGGCACAAACAGATTTTAAGTTAAAGGGACACTTCGTTTTTTTCTCATGGGTGATAGCAGGTGTTGGATAACAATTTTTATTTCGCTTAGATATGCACAATATATAAAACAAAACTCCTTGTTGAAGAATTGCAATACACATGCATTTTCATTAGCATATTTGTGCAACTACCTCTGAATGTGTTTTATAATCAATAGAGAACACACCTATAGATTTGATGTTAATATTTAGCCTACTTTTAATAAATGCATTACTAGAAAAAAATGCAGTGCTTCATTTTGCAGTAAAGTTGAACTGTTTGGTTAAGATAATTTTGTGTTTGGATGGCTGTGCTAATTGTTTTGAGTGCATTGCATTGGAGAAAAGTGTCAAATCAGTTGAGAAAAACTGTAAAAGTCAAGAAATCCTTGATTAATGTGAATATTTTAATTAAAAATGTCTCCACATGGTATTCAATAAAATTATTGGGTAACACTTTACTTGAAGGGGTGTGCATAAGACTGATATGACACCTTCATAATCATGACATGACACATGTCATGAATATGAAGGTTTTTATGCATGTTTATGACAACTGTCATTAAGTGTCATTCGCTCAGTTATGTCATTTGTAATGCAAATATTACATTATTTGACCTAACCCTACCCCTACCCTTATCCCTAACCATAGTCCATAACAAATACATCTCAAACAATGTCATCTTTGCATTAAAAATTACAGAACTGAGCGAATGACACTTAATGACAGTTGTCATAAATATGCATAAAAAACTTCATATTCATGAAATGAGTCATGTCATGATTATGTATGTGTCATGTCATGATTATGAAGGTGTCATGTCAGTCTTATGCACACCCCTTCAAGTCAAGTGTAACCAATTATTGTGCATTTAATCTATTAAGTTGGATATGGTAAGATTAAACTTAACAATAAAGTATCACATTTCAGCTATCGTTTTGTTAGGGTGGTTACACAAAATGTTATTGTACCCTTGCTTCTATCTTCCTCAATCTTCCTGCTTTCTAACAGCTTCATGTGGCCGTAAACATTTAATTTTAGCATGGCTTTAAGTTCTATGCATCATTAAAGTTTCACTTTCACCATTTCAACCGCTAACTCGCTTCCGGGTTTTTGCCTACAAATTGACGTCACAGTTCCACCACTGTATTCAGTCTTTGTGTGTGTGTGTGTGTGTGTGTGTGTGTTTAGAACTTATTTTAATGGTACAAAGCTTGGTATAGATGTTGGCACTTGTGTGAATATGAACACACACAAGCAAACATGAACATGACTCAAAAAGGATACAAATACATCTCAAACAATGTCATCTTTGCATTAAAAATTACAGAACTGAGCGAATGACACTTAATGACAGTTGTCATAAACATGCATAAAAAACTTCATATTCATGAAATGAGTCATGTCATGATTATGTATGTGTCATGTCATGATTATGAAGGTGTCATGTCAGTCTTATGCACACCCCTTCAAGTAAAGTGTAACCAATTATTGTGCATTTAATCTATTAAGTTGGATATGGTAAGATTAAACTTAACAATAAAGTATCACATTTCAGCTATCGTTTTGTTAGGGTGGTTACACAAAATGTTATTGTACCCTTGCTTCTATCTTCCTCAATCTTCCTGCTTTCTAACAGCTTCATGTGGCCGTAAACATTTAATTTTAGCATGGCTTTAAGTTCTATGCATCATTAAAGTTTCACTTTCACCATTTCAACCGCTAACTCGCTTCCGGGTTTTTGCCTACAAATTGACGTCACAGTTCCACCACTGTATTCAGTCTTTGTGTGTGTGTGTGTGTTTAGAACTTATTTTAATGGTACAAAGCTTGGTATAGATGTTGGCACTTGTGTGAATATGAACACACACAAGCAAACATGAACATGACTCAAAAAGGATTACTGGCCCTGCAAAATAGTTACACTTTTACTTTTTTGTGCTAAAAAATTGCTTAATTGGAAACCAATTTCATTTAACCATCTTACATTTTTGCAATATCAACTTCAAATTTGGAACACAACTTTAGATTTATGGCTTTGATTTTTTTTTTTGAGAGTAAAACATGTTTTCATTTGGAATGAAATGTGAATGATAACAACTTAAACTTGTTATTGATAGAGTTTTTTTTCTAAATAACAGTTTTTAGCATAACAAAACTATGAAAGCTGTAGGTCCAGTTTGGCTGAGGACAAGGACAGGATTTGTCATTTTCAAAAGTGTTTTTAATAAATTAAAAAATATCTGAGAACCTAATGAATGACATATTCCTTTACAGAACAACTCACAGAAATCAACCATCAGTCAGTTTGAGACATTGTTTGGATGTAATACTTTTTATTCACTGTAACAAGTCAAGGACAGATAACGTACATTTCTGGAAGAATGTCCCATTTACAGTCATTGTGCGTACAAGAGCACCAATCAAGTTCCGCGAAACGTCGTTTGTGTTCCACATCGGAACAACTTTGGGGTGATTCATTCATAATTTGCTGTTGTAAAAACAGATCGGAATATAATTTAAACACATGGACAAAATTCAAGCGTTAGTTTCATTTGCTGGTGGGCGTCAGTTGTTATAAAGTGGGTGATGAAGAGGAAGTGTCTCGTGCTTCAGGGGATTTACATGCCATCTTTTAGACTAGACAAATAGAGCAGTGCTTCTCAATTCCAGTCCTCGCCAACCACCGCTCTGCAAATTTTGCTCATCTCTCTTATTTAACACACTTGATTCAGATCAAAAGCTCGTTAGAAGAGAGCTCCATGCATGAACTATGTTCCGATTGACAGAGTCATGGCATATCCCTTGAAGTTTACTTCACTTTGAAACATTCATTCACGGATTTGCGCTATGCCGCTTCCTGCAGCATCTTAGCAAACTTACTAGAGAAGTGTTACATAATATACCTCTGTAAAAGAAAATACAATTCCACTTCTCAGTGCACTTATGGCCGAATAGAACAAGAGATACATACACAATGTGCACAGTGGGGGTGGGATGGTGTTAGTGTCGCGACTGATGTAGTTGCACTGGCCATCACATATTTATTTGCTTCCCTAGTAGTGTCTGTTCAAAACCACCAACACTTAATCTAATGCGCCTGTTCTTGTACTTTCCCCCACTCGTGAAATATCAGCTATCACAAGATACACAATGAAAGGAAACACGTCACACGTCACACTTCCCACTTTCTTCAAGCGAAGTGTTGTCGCACGACTCTGAAAGAGTCAGTTGGCTGTGTTTTTGGATAAGGAGTCCTACAATCAGGGGCGGCGTGAAGGAAGGTCAAGGGCTTCAAGGACCTCGTTGATTAACGCCGACAAGCCAACGAGCGATGAGTCTATGTGGAGTTGTGCTGCTGTGTATTGTGTGTATCCTTCAAGGTGAGTTTACCAAAATTCACTCTCATATCATGCAGAGTTGGTTGCGTTATTGTTACATAGTTTGATCCTGTGGAGGAGATTATTGGAGAATTTTTGAGAAGAAAAGAAAATGCCTGTCAGAGTGAGTGAGAAACAAAGAAAGTCAACCTAAATTCTGCTTCGTGGAATTTCCCTTTTCTGCGAAACAACAAAACATTTTCTTCTTACATATTAGAGCGTTCACCGTATCTGTGTTTATTTTTGCAGTGTGCAGCAGTGAGGAACATATTATTGGTTACAGTGGCCAATCAGTCATCCTGAAATCTGGAGCGGACAGATCATGGAATCTCACCAGAGTTCAGTGGTCCATTTATAAGAACACCACATACATTGCGAGTCTAAAGGATGGAGAAGTGTTTATATACAAGTTCTGGCGACATCAGGGTCGACTTGACATCAACAATGAAACGGGAGATTTAACAATCCGTAATGTGACAGTGGACGACAGCATGACATACAACGTGGCTTTGGTCACCTCAGATGGCACGCGGAAGCAAGATAAAGTTCATCTCACAGTTCAAGGTAAGCAGTCTTCGGTATAGTCAACAATCTACTTCTGCTTAATGACTGTCGGCCAGATTGAGTAACTGATATAACGCCCTGCAGAAAGTCTCAAGACTCCAGACATCCAGAAGACGCTTCATTCCCGCAATGACAGCCGGTGCAACGTTGCCCTCGAGTGTGTCGCATCTGGCCAAAATGTGAATTTGTCCTGGACGCCTGATGGCGAGTTCAACGGATCGTATATTTCAGGAATCCCAAATTCTGTTGACGCTTCGCTAGTCCTTTTCGCATCATTTAGTGGCAACAGACACGTGACGTTTACCTGCACTGCCTCCAGTGGTCAACAGACTGTGACCAGGCAAATGACAGTGGGGTGTTCAGGTGAGTTTCGTCAACAGATGTTTGCTTCTTTAGGATACTGTTCACTACATATTAAGAATTAAAGGATAGTTCACCCAAAAATGAAAATTCAGTCATTAATTACTCACCCTCATGTCGTTTCAAACCCGTAAGACCTTCGTTCATCTTCAGAACACAAATTAAGATATTTTTGATGGAATCTGAGAGCTCTCTGATCCTCCCATTGACAGCAACGCAACTGAAATGTTCCCAAGTCCAGAATCGTAGCAAGGAGATCGGTAAAATAATCCATGTGACATCAGGGGTTCATCTGCGATTATACGAAGCTACGAGACTACGACTTTTGTGCACAAAAGAAAAAAAAAATAACGTTTTTATTCAACAATTCATCTCCTCCGCATCACCTTGGTGCCATTTTGGAGAATATCCGCTGGACGTAAACAGCGTATGCTGTTCTGTGTCAAATCACAACAACGTAGGAAACAGATCCGGCGTGACGCAGCTGACACAGAACAGCATACGCTGTTTATGTCCAGTGGATTTTCTCCGATGCGGAGGAGACGAATTGTTGAATAAAGACGTTATTTTCCAATCCATAGAACGATGTTACCTCTCTAAATTTTCTTCTTTTCCGATAATCCGTTTAGTTTGCTTACACTATGCTGATAACACACGAACATCTCGGAGACGTCTGTTTGACGTCTACGTGTACAACTGCGAGATGTATTTTGTTGCTCATCTGCAATACGTCCATAATAAGACGTCTTTCCTATAAGATATCAAATAGATGTTTAGAAAATGTCTTTAAGATGTTTATGATTTAGAATGTATGTAAAACTGACGTTTGTACACAGCAGATGCTTTCCAGACGAAGCGATCTTTAACAGACATCTTACAGACGTACGTGTGTGGTAGGTTATGCAAAACAGTGTGTGTGAAGTAACTTTAATTATCAACGTCGCCAGATTTTTCAAACTGCTTGTACTCTTGGTGCATTTAAGTCCTCCTGGGAAGTACGTATTTACGATTTGGGAAGTCGTAATTACCACATCAGGTGCATTGAAGTCACTTTGGTCCGAGCAAGATTGTAATGTACATAAAATTCGGCAAAATTTCTTTAACCCTACTTTTAAAACCTGATGAATACAAATGTGCTTCGAGTGTGTTCTGCTTTGTTTTTATTCAATTCACGAACATTCTTTAAATTGGATTGTTGTTATACATGTCCAATCGTAATTATACAATTTAATGGTATTTTGCACATGCTAATTAGTTTGATTGTAAATGAAGAAAAAATATCACATTTAAATCCTTTTAACAAATTTACTTCAATACAGATGCTGCATAAATTGCACCCGACATGTTTTCTCACTGACAAAGAAAAAAATTAATTTGTTTTCCACTCGTAATATCGACTTTATAGTGGCATTCATGTGCGCTCAACTCATAAATACGATCTATCCAACATGACTTGAACCAAGTGTGCCACACACATCCTGAAAAGTGAAGCCGAAACATTTCAATCTCTAGATTAAATGAGTACCAACACGTCTATATCGGTCATAACTTCTGCAGTGAAATAGTGCGATCAGGAGTTAAACTCACTAGTGCGCTTGTGTCGAGGGCCCATATTTGCGTGCGCCATCAAATGAAATGTACTTTGAACAGCTGAGTTCAGCCATACGCATGCACTAATCGTGCCCATCAGAACGGGAATATACTTTGGCGTTGAGGTGTGAAAAGTAGACAGCGAAAAAATGTATGCAAAAAAAACAAAACAATTGGTGACATTTGAGCTTAAAACACATAAAACCTAGTGGCTGCTTCAACGCACAGCCATTCAAACCTTAAGCTTTTTTATTTTATCATTATTATTTATTTGTTTGTTTGTTTTATTTTTTTGGTAAAATTATTAAGTAACCGGGATTGTTGGAAGTTGTATTTTCAAACTTTGAAGTGTTGCTAACACCTTAAATTTGATTTACGTGATCTTAAAACTATTTTTAAATGTGACTTTATAAAACCTGCAGAAACCGTGATCATATAAAAAGGGCCTTTACTGACAGCAGAGTGAACAAAGAAACATTGTTTGTGACAGAAACAGCCAGTAACTTCACCGCACTGGACACTTTAACAGGGCAAGGCTGTTGAAAAGTGACACATGCAAATATATAAAGAGTTTTTTTTATTTTGTTTTTTTTCTAGAGGAGAAGCAGAAGTGTGAAGCCTGCACTGTTTGCAGTTCGTGCACTGCCTCTGTGATATGGAGTATTCTGTTTACAGCTGCCGTTTTGGGCTTAGCATATGCATTTACAAGAAATAAAGGTAACCACATATCTTGTAATCAACTTTACAATGCATGAACTTTATAAGCTTTATTAACTGTAATTGATGTTTTCTAGAGAAAATTATAGCTGCTTGCCCTGAAGGTCCCCTACAATTCATCCAGAATATAAAGTAACACCACACCACAGACATCACAGATGTAATGAACTCCGTTTACCACGGTACTTATCCTGGATATTTGTTTTTTTGAATCACCAGCAGTCCTGGCTCCTGTGGTTTTCAAGGGAAACAAGACGCGGCGTAAGAAGAAGAAAACTTATCTTGCATAAGGTTCAACTGAGCAATGATCAGCATGCGTGTTACTTTATGGAAGGGAACATCTGGCATTATGTTTGACAGTTTTTTAAAGAAGTTTCATTTGAAAGAAAACAATGTGCGGAGGTTGTGACTGTTGGTTTGACCTCATTGGATCCGGTCTGTGAAACGTGTCATCTGTCACCTGTGTCAATGATGATTTCAGGTACTTTATGTTGTTTGATATTGATGTTGTTTTAAAAATCCATTCGACCGAAAGATCTGAAAGTTTGTGCTCCTTCAGTTTGAGCAGACATGATACTTCTGGTACTGATGGCCTTTAAATCTTGACTCAGCATGGCAGCTTTTTTATTTAATAAATTGTCTAGCTTCTTTGTTCAAAAATGCATGTGAATTAAAATGGTCTATGTCATTTCTGGTTGTTATGATGAATTGTAGCAGTATGTGCTCAGTGTCACAGTATTCTAATGACACATTGTCATCGTGAGTGCTGTTTTTGTCTTGTCAATGGGAAGTGGTCAACGTTACCTAGAAATGGACACATGAGCTCAGTTTCTGCATATCTGGATATGAGTAAATACTTAAGAAACAGATTCCATTAAAAGGATATTCCACTGAATTTTAACACTTCTCCAAACTGCCCAGTGACTTTATTTCAGAATTATTTCAAAGTTGTATTTACATTGTGCTTTTCTTTGACTCATGGTCTCTTTACAGAAAGAAACAAAATACAAGCGAATATCAGAGTAAATTATTCTAACTGTAACTTTTATAACATGCTATTTTGGCCAAATGACAGCAGACAAAAAAAACCCTGAGTGCCCACATAACTCCAATACACTTTATAAGCTGTAAGTTTATATATATTTTTTACAATGCATTTACTGTCTCAGATGTGACTGTTTTAAAGGGGTCATATGATGCGATTTCAATTGTTCCTTTCTCTTTGGAGAGTTACGAGCTCTTGGTGCATAAAGAAGATCTGTAAAGTTGCAAAGACTAAAGTCTCAAATCCAAAGAGATATTCTTTATAAAAGTTAAGAGTCAACCAC